GAATTAAGTGTTGACCAATTATTAAAGTAAATGTTCGTGAAGTTGCCAGTGATATATTTTCTGTAAAAGAATGAATTCCTATAGTGTCAAAACATTAATTTCCCATTTAAGTTCATCTACAAATTGTGTAACTACCTGATTGTCATGGTAGCAGGATTAATATACATATCTGTATATAGACAAAAAATACTCAGTAATGATCATTGGAATCAAAAGGCTTAATATTTTTTCCCATTTGAATACACTAATGCTTCCAAGGTGACAGAAGACTGTACAGTTGTTAAACAAGTTGTAAATAAATGCTTATATAAAATGTAAATGCTTGCTTTTCCTTTATCTGGTACCTGGTTATAATGCACAGTTGGTGTTAAAATCACTGGTTTGAACCTGAAGTGCTGTATGAGATGATGGGAGCTGGTTGGGGCTTTTGCAGGCAGTTGGTCATTAACAGGGACTTCAGTGGCAGGGGAATGACATGGATAATACAAACCTTACCTTTAAATGCACTTAGAATCGGTCACTACAGAACAGCTAGGAACAAAATTTGGCTTTACAAAGCACAGGTAGACCTGGGCTGCTTTGGTCTGTCTGATTCAAAGATGGCATCTTGGAAATGCATTTCCTGGGTCTGCAAAGGAGCGTGAATGGAAGGTGTGGAGCAGCAGCAGCACACCAGAAATCACAAACCTCCTGACTTTTGCTGGAAAGCATTTGATGCGGCTGCCAGGAATTGCCCATCATGGTTTGCCTATGAAAGGGCAAAGGCTAAGTGCCCAAAGTAACATGATTTTCCTCTTGCTGATGGAAGTTTAGCTACAGGGATGGTGGGAGGGGGAGAACCACTGCCGGTGTGAACAGAAACAATTGTTCTTCCTTTCTGCACTGGTAAGCAGCTTTGCCATCCGGGGTGGGAGGAGGAGGTGGTGTCAAACACAGGTGAAGTTTGTAGTTGTGAAAGTGCGGGAAACAGCCAGCAGGAGATACTGAGCCCATGAGTGTCACTGCATGGTGCTGGGGCTGAGAAGGATGTGCAAAAACCCTGCATCCCCTGCTCAGCCTGGCCTGCCTCCTGCAGCTGAGCACAGCCATGGGCTGCAGCATCACTGTGGCAGTAACAGGTGAACCCTGAGGGACTAGGGGTGAGGCGTTTGCTGCATAGGGAGGCCAGGAGACCCCCAGCAGTGGCCAGCTCTTTCCGGAGCCACAGGCAGTGTAAGGTGGAGGCAGGGAGCTGCCAGAGCCTCACCTCCAACTGCTAATGATTTGCTCTGGTCCTCTGCCCTCCTCAGTCCGACCCCAGTTGTGCCTGTTCACCTTGGTCTCGTCATTTCAGCGTCTTCTCCCTCTGATCATTGTGCCCTCTGCTGTCCTCCCGTTTCCCCCACTCCCCCCCCTAACTTTTCTTTTGCAGTATTTTTTTTTCTTCCCAGCTTCCCCCTCCTGCACTGAGATCCACATCAGCATCCCTTGTTCCTGCCTCCCCCCTCTCGTGTCTGTCCCTCCGACTCCTTGACACCAATGGCTGCAAGGCCACAGTCACCTCTCTACACCCTTTACCGCCCCTCCTGGGGGGAACAGTGGCCCACCCTACCCCCCAGAGTTGCTGGCCACACAGAGTGTTCAGCACAGCAGCTATCTTCCCTGGTACTGCTCCTGTGCACCTCACAGCTGCAGGGGCCCCACTTTTATCACTGCAGCCTGTTTACCCTTGTGTTGCATGAGATGTTCGTGCAGGAGACAACGGACGCTGCTGTGTTAAAAGGACACACTGAAGCATAAGCTAGAAGCTGCTCAGTTCCCCTCTTCGATTTCCTTTGCCCTAACTGAGCACTGTGCTGTGCACACAGTATTTGCAAATAAATCTTTGTGCACATGGGCCTGTCTTGAGCTCCTTTGTGCAGCAAAGCAGAGCCCCGCACATGGGTACCCACTGTGCTCTGCAAGCAGGAGCCAGCAGTGCACTTGAGCGGAGGCTATACGAGACTGGCTACAAGGACTGCGGAGGAGGGCAGTGTCACTCTGTCCTTCAGCGTGGACACAGCACAGCACAGGTGCAAACTCCCCTCTGCTCATCACACATACTTAGTTCCTTCTCCTTAGGCGCTAAAAGAGTAAACTGTCCTCAAAACAAGAAGGCATTCCACTTATCTGGCAAAGCAGGCACATCAACAAGCAAAGGCTGGGTATGTCAGGGACTGGGAAAGGAAGATTAAGTGATGTAACTGGAAAAGTCTTCACATACTAAATGAATCCACTGCTTTCGTGTCCTGTTAAAGGTCTTCTGAGAGCCCTAGGAGGCAGTGGAGCATCTCTGGCTTCTAGGCCTTCTGGCAGTAACAGAGAATAGCCTCTGCTCCTTCCTAACAGACAAGCATCTCAAATCTACAAAATGTGCATACATGTAGGTGTAGCTTGGCCCAGAAACCAAACAATGTCCACAAGCTACCTGGGAGCACAACTCCACTCTGAGAAGAAAGGTCTGGCAAACCCTTTCTGAGAAAAGGGCAGAGGAAGGAAAAAAAAACCACCCCAGAATACCTCAAAATGCAACCAACCACCACCCTCTAAACAGCCCAGGGAACTGATGAAGGCAGTCGTAACAACCACAAGTAAAACTCCAAGTCATTAAAATGCATTTTCATTACTTACCACCTTGTCTAAGTGTCCTTCTTTAGCACTGACTTGACTTGAACAGAAAAAAATAACAGACCCTTGCTGAAAGCAGATCACGAGTTCCACACAGAACACTGTGCAATGCCGTGTTTTCCACGAACAGCCTTGTGGGACTTGGTCCCCAACACCTTCAAACAAGTCTGCATTATCCCTTCATCTGCTATAAAATATTGGCAATTAATATATGCCCTCTGTGTGCCCCCTCCCCTGAAGAGGCTCTTTGACAGTCCTTACTAGCTGAAGGCCAACACCAGAATGAAACCTGGCATGTTCTCTGCTGGCAGTGCAGTAAAAGATGACACAGCCTCCGCTGCACCATCAGCGCTGTGTTCCAGAGGGGCTCATAGACACAACACACAGCTGACCACATCCACCTTGCACACAGCTTGGGACCTGTCCCAGTCCAGCCATCAGCCTGCACATCAAGAGCGTCTACTCAGCATCTGTGAGGGCTCCCACCAGCTGCACCAAGAGTTTACAAACAAATGCTGGTGTCGGATACAGGTTTCACTGCACTACTGAGAGTTTTGCAAGTGCTAAGTACTGAAGGTTCCCTTTTCTGTGTGCTGGGCTGTGGCTTTGGGTTTTGCTCTCCCCCCCATCCCTCAGGGAAAAGCCAGTAACATCCTACAAGATTCTCCTGCAAAGTTCCTGAAGCCTATTTTCATTATAGCCCTGAGCACCTTGAAAATAAACACAAATGTTTTGGAAATACCTCCAAAAATACTATCCTGACAAAGCTTACTCTGTGAAGGAAAAACGCCTCCCTGCAAATAGGAACTGGCAGACTACTAGAATAAACACCTTCTTAACAGCCATTTCGTATTATTTTTAAACCTAAAAAACCCCCAAACAACTGAAGATTTGTAAGAGTTAACACAATGCCCAAGAATACCTTTCCATCAAAGTCAGCATATATTCAGTCTCTCAATAAACACGGATAATAATGGTTTGCATCCTCTTCAAAGCAAGTGGAGTTTGGAAGTCATGCAACGCAAGTGTCCTCTGGAGACCAGCAATACACCGATCCTAAATAACACACTGAGAAGAGCCAATTTAAACTGCACCTTGTTCTACAGAAACTTGAATTCACCTACCTGTGAAGACTTTAGGATTACATACTTCATCACCTGCCAAAGCATGTGGTCTTAAAATGTGTTTATGCAAATCACGCAGGATTTCTACCCAAACTGATTTTGTATACAGGTGGAATTAAAGACAGCTGCAGAAATTTCTGGAACAAAACTGTCTGGATAATACATCAAAACCAAAGAAAATCAACTGAACAACAGTCTTGAAAATGCTTTATTGAACCGTGTGTCTTATTGTAATGTGCAGAAGATCTGTTTGAAAAGACTACAGCTTGAAAAATTTTGAAAATCCTCAACAATCAATAAAAAAGTCCCTACTTGGGATAACTCTCAGGATAACCAGAGGCCTCATGTAAAGTTTCCCTTGAAATATTTTCTGTTGCAGAGGCTAAAAGAAAACAAAGCGAGTACTGCTCTATGTGGAAACAAATCAGGATTTGAGGATTTTACAAAAAAGAAAAAAAAAAAGGAACAGAACTTGAACTTCAGTCTACGGGGCTGCTTCTTTTGCTGCTGTTATTTTGGATTAGCATACATGTCACAGTTCTGCTGAGAACACCATCAAGTGTTCAAGTCTTTAAATTTACTCTAAAATGCTAGCAATGCTGCAGAGATGGAACGATACAAAGAAAGAGAGAGGGGGTGAGGTGAGAAAGATCTGAAAAGACCATTATCATATCAGCCTAGTTTAAATTTTCATCAGAAGCTGTGTGCACTCTTGTTTTTATAATCTAACTTTACATTCAAAAAAACCCACTCAAAAAAAAAAAAAAAAAAGGAAAACCAAAAGTGAACATACCTCTTCTGCCCTTGTCTTGGGCCCATTACAAACTTCTGTGCACAAGAACACCATACTCTCTTTTTTCCAAACCATAGGGTTAACAAGTATAGGCAAGTAGGTGTCACGATTCAACTAAAAGGCTTTTTCAGTTTTTTTATACCAGCACAAATAACCAAAAGAAACAATAAATAAAAGGTGATAAAGTTAGCATTAAGAATTCAGTTGTAATATACTGACAATCTGTGCGGGAACAGCATATAAAGATGTCATTCTGTCACACATCATTCAGAAGCTACTTTGTGGCCACAAACTGCTCATCAGCACTAACCTTTTTGTCATGTAACCTTCGAATAATGGGAAAGCTTTGGGTTTTACAGTTTTACTCCTTGTATCTAAATTTTTAAATGACAAGGTCACTAAAACTCATGCACGCTGCAAAAAACTTCATGCAGTAGTTAAGGTAAACCATCCAAGCAGTTTTTATTCATTAATATTCATAAATACACACAGCAGCTTCATTAGAGATTTTTCATTTTTTTTCCTCTTCAGTTTGAATGTGGAGTATTAGGAGAGCCTTTTGCATGTCAAGGTACAGGACACAGAGCTTTCTGCTCTGCACTGCAACCTACATTTACCTGCTAGAAGTAAAAATTAGTTAAGTGGAAATGATTATCATATATATCTCTTCTCTCTTTCTTTTGAATGTACACAATGTAACAAGAGTGACAGACCTGAAATTACAATCACCAAAACAAACCCAAGATAGTTGTTGTCCACTTTCATTGGCAAATACAGCACAGAGGACATTGTCTGCAAAGTGGGATGTCATCAAAGAGGAGGTGGAGGAGGCTCATTTCCTTTATTACTCTCTTTTAAATTTAGATTTTCTAAAGCAACATCTAGAGGCATAATATCTACACAGCCCATAGCACCAAAATCTGCAATCTCCCCCCGCTCATCCTCATCTGAGGAGGAACTTTCTTCCCGCATCAAAGTGGACAGTAGAAGCTCCTGAACAAACAGGCTGCAGTCTGCCCGTTCGCTTTCCATTAACTGACGCTCTGCTTCCGACATCTTCGGATCATTCAACCTGTACAGCAGCAAGGGAAGAGAAGACAGGCAGTTGGGAAAAGCCCAAGGCACTCAACAAACACTCCTTCAGAACAGCTCTGCTTGCCCTTTGACATGTACAGCTCTGGGAACCTCTGACACCTCGGTACACCTGGCATGTGTCTAACAAACCACCCTTTCCCCGTTGCTACAACAACATTCAAAGTGGAACCTAAAGCTAGAGGAAAATATAAAACTATTTGTGAGGTTTCCTGCTATTCAGGAGTCTTTTAGGGAGGGCTGTTGTGATTTCCTAGACACTAAGTACACACCTGTTTCGTTTCTAGGTCAACTTTTAAGTTCACATATGCCACAAAATATCATTACTGCATGTGTAATGCCTAGGGATTCCCAAAGCATGATACAACGTTCATTCCAACCCTTCTCCTAGGTTACAGCGCATGCCCCGATAGGCAAGAAAATTGCTCACTCCAATTCTGGAAGTCGCAATCTGTGACATTTGTAGGTACTTTGATTAAAGATTCTCAAATAATAATGAGTTTTTGATTAAAAGAAGTCACATGGTATTATGTTGCACTTAGATAAGAATCAGCTTGACTCAAATCCAGGTTTCTTGACACAGGAGCTGTTAGAACAGCTTCTTTCATAACACCAAAAAGACAAATAAGAGGATGTATTGGGGGGCACAGCAGGGGAGACAGGGAAAACATTTTTATTTCAGGTCAACAGCCAACCTTCTAAAAGAACTGTAATGACGTAGTGGGTGACTCTTTAAAATAACCCTGGGATCCAAGTATAATTTCTAAACCAGATAAGTATTCCATTAATTAATGACATCCTTTATTTGCTTTGTTATCCAGTCTCTAAAATAATTAATATATAAACCCCTATTCTACCTTCAGCTTTTGCTAAAGATTAATCAATACTATTTTCTGACTCTCTCCCTCTCCATTACGGTTCAAGTCTATATGTTTGGATCACTGGAAATACACTTGTTTTGTTGTAAGTGGTAGAGGAAACAGGTACAATTTAGTTAAGATATATTCCTTTGGTTCCTCTTGAAGTTCAGCTCTCCACCCACTGAGAGCACCCTGCAACACCCTACAGCAGCAGAGGAGGTGGCTTATGTAGTGGGACACTGAAGTTCTGCTGGGTCCAGAAGCCCCATAAGGGAGCTGGAGGAGCAGAGTAAACAGGCAGGGTTCCTCTGAGAAGGAAGCAAGAACTAAAGACCAGGAAAAGCACGGACATCCTACCTGACCCTCCAAACAGAATGGTACACACTCATCTCAGAGCTAAGGCTACATCTCTGGCTAAGGGGTCTGCACCGACTTCCCCTGCGATGGCTGATGCCTCCACGCAGACAGAGCTTCAGACAGCAGAGGCAACTGTACAGACCTTGGTATGTGGGAGGTGCCTGAACTACTCTCCTGGGGTGGGGATGGGAGACAAACCAGCCTGCAATAGGTGTGCCCAGGTGGACCAGCTCCTAGAACAGGTGGCCAAACTGCAGGAGGAAGTGTCAAGATTGAGGAATATTAGGGAGTGTGAGCAGGAGACAGACTGGTGGAGCCACATCCTACCACCCCTGAGGCAAAGGCAGGAAACAGAGGCTCCACAAGAAGCAGAGGATCCCCTCCCCTCTAGCCAGCAGGGCAAAGGAAGGGACCTAAGAGAAAGGGGAGAAGGAAACAGGTCCCAGCCCGGGGGGGCAGG